CCATGGACACATATAGATAAACACAAATGGGTGTAATTCTCTAAAATTTACATGGGAAATAAAGGTAAGCCATACAAATATTTCTCCCGGTCCAGGAATTGAATCCGGCACCTCTGCGTGGCAGATCAGTATGGTAACCGTTAAGCCAAGGAGGCAGTTCGTAGAGTTGTATTATGGTACTATTTATTTGTGGGATTACGCACTATATTCGAATTCCGTCTTCCGTCGAGAATACCTTCAATTCGAATCATTATATTCGTGGACCGAAATAACTACACTATTATTTGTATTCCAATTCGAGTTCGAACTGTGGCGGTGGCTGCAGCGCGGAGGGGTGGAGGGAAGGAGAAAGTATCGATGCATTAAAAAAATTTAAGTAAAAGTGGATGTACTTATTCAGAAACAAATATAAAATTTCTTGTTATCTTATCTTAGTACAACGTGATTATTATAAACCGTTACTCTGAGAAATTCATCAGCAGAAGGTGTACCCACAACCCTTTAGTACTCCTGCGTCTTCGTACGTACAATGCCAAAAGTTGAATCTCTAGGCGTAAGTACAAGCGATAACCGTATTCTTCTCGGATGCAGTCTTCGATATGTATATGATGGATGAAGGATGCAGTGCACATACGACATCCCAAGTAAGTCTGAATTTTCTACATCTGTATATTCTCGGATACGGATCGAAAGATGTGTGCAAACGCCCTTATTTTATTATATTTTATTTATATTATTATTTATTTGTATAAGATCTAAAAATACGCATCTGTTGTTTGTTAGAGAGAGTTTATTTCTGTCTAGTAGAGTCTACTACATATAGTGAAATTATGGCGTATCTTAACTTTTGATATTTATGAAATTGATGTTCGCTATACTATATCTACTGTTACTGGGTGATTCTCAGAAGACCTCAATATTAGGATATCAGCACCGCTTGGTGACCACAACACAGTATTCCAGCCTGAATGCATGGGCATCAAGTTGCGTCAGGAGCAATCATAGCGAGAAGAGTAAAGAACTACTCCATTCGAATACTCTCCGACAGTATGTCAGTACTTCAAGCACTGAATAGCTATGACATAAACTCAGGGTTCATTTACGAATGCCATCAAGCACTCATGGAGGTATGTATACAAAACCACGTAACTCTTCAGTGGATTAAAGGACACAGCGGCTCACGTGGCAATGATGCAGCAGATGAACTAGCCAGGAAAGGGTCGGAGACGGACGCTGTAGGACTAGAACCGATAGTGTCCCTCCCCTGCCAATGGTCCAGAACAACTATACATAAAGGTATAAAATCTTCACATAATAATACATGGACCACCCTTACGGTTTGTAGACAGGCGAGGGAAGCACTCCCAACGCTCAATGCCAGTCTATCTCGAATACTAATTAAACTTAAAAGGCAAGAGCTTCGCACTCTAACTGCCGCCCTAACGGGTCATGGTCCATACAAGCCCGAAGTCTTCAGCAAACCAAGGAGGCTGATGAGATTCCTGGAGGAGCTTGGGTGGCACGAGTAGGACCCTGCACCCACCACACGCAAAATAGGCGTGTTCCATACCAGCCCGTTGCACCAAGTAACTACCAAGTACTATATCTATGAATCTATTAGTATTTTAAGGTTCGCAAAAAATAACACATTATACAGTGTACTTATTCGGTTGTATTTTGTTTCAGGTATTCGAAATCCGTAGAGATCAAAGAAATTGTCATTTTATCATGATTTCTATTTGTATTCACGTTTTGTTTTCCCAGTGGATTCTAAGTAGGTATCTCCATATTTTGCGAGTGTTTGTTAAGGCCTTTAAAATGATGCCCTGAGAGTAACAAGCGCGATGTAGCTGCAATTGGTCGGAAATAAAAACTTACGTCCTTCTAAGGTGTATTTTGTTTATTGTATTGTGCATACATATAAGTTAGTTGGAATATGGATACTTAAATAATTTATGTACTCATTTAACTTTGAGAACAAAAAGATGAGTAGGCAAGCGCTCGCCTCTTAATGAAGAGACGAGCGCTAGTCGGTTTAGAGAAATTCAGTTTAATTAAATGCAACTTTTGCAAAACATTATTGTTTGTGGTTTCTGGATTTATTATTTATTAAATAACTTCGAGAAAAAGTGAGAAACTAAGACGTCTGCCGTACTGTTAGGCGAATCAGAAGATGATAATGAGGCTGTAAATTGGCGCGTGCGGCAAAGCGGGGTGGGGGGTGCGAGCCCGGGCCACCCAACCTGTGGCGTATCTGTTGCGCCGCCCGCGCGACCCGGCCCGGCGAAGGCCCACAGTTCGTGACACCGCGCCGACGCCGCGCTACGCCACCTCAGACGCGGTTATTCAGCATCACTCGCGCTCGCGTAAAACAAACGCACACTGCCACTCGAAAGCACGTGTCTAACCACTAATAAATTTAATTTTACTCATACTGTCTTCAAAAAGAAAAAAAATAAGTTAACAGTTATTATTAAAAGGTATAAAAACAATTTAATTACATACTCTGATTGAAGTTTAATTGGAATCTATAAAAGCACTTTATGTGCGGAAGTGTAATTAAGTAATCTGTATATAATGGATTGATTGTATTATTTTAAGTGTAATTAGGTTTTCTATTGGGATTTGCTACGCTTTTTTAAATTGTACTCAAGTTCTGTATGTAATGTCATTTAATGCTACAGCAATAAAACCCACATCGTCACTTTACTGGAAAATAAGGACGGTTTTATTATTGGTCTTTCAAGATTTATTTTAATCTCAGTTCTTAAATATGTAAAAAGAGGAACTGATAATAAAATATTGTACAATTGTGTACAAGAGAAAAGATGGCAATTTAATTACGTCTTTTCTCCCTAAAACAAAATTTAATTATTCATTTTACCCTTTTTGAAATTAAATTATGCGTAAAGTCGAGTTAATACGTAGATCGTATGTAACAGTTCAGGACAAAACCCCTGAATAATTAAATATATTTCCACGTATCTTAACAAATGTATCGAGATATGTGGAAATATATTTAACCTCTTTTTACAGCTGAGCTTGTGTAATCCAATAAGCCTGGACAATTTGCCACAGAAATTAATCATTGTAGATATCTACAATAGGTCCCTATCTATTTAAAGGTCGTTGTTATAGTTCTATGGGGAGGAGTTGTCAGCAACCATTTACATTTGGACAATAGATCCATTCAACAAAGTCTTGCGGGTATTAACCACAGACAAGGGGTGTCACCCCTGGTAGCATTTGAACACAGATTGAATGTTTTGTTCTGACTGTTGGGTATTAACTTCGTTATTTAAACCTTTTTGAACGAAATCGTTATAGTGTAGAGTTAAGAGTATATTAATTTAAATTCAACGGGGACTAGGGACTAGGGACGGTCGGCAGTTTCAAACTTGACGTACTCTTGGTTGTATCAAGTAAAATACTGCTGAAAATTTTCTCAACTACTGTACTGACATTTTACCGAAAATTTATATAGCATATATGACGCTATAATTGCTAAAAATAATTTAAGAAAATCTGAAATATGCATAATACTATAAAATTCAGACCTGAATTGAAGTCTGATTGAAAAAATATTTAAATGCCTTTTTAAATAAAATTGTTTTTGTTCTAAACAAACTTACGCTGGGCTCTAATTATCGAATAAATATATCAATTCCTTCAAATTTTTACATTTTTATTTTTATTCATGGTGCTGAATAATTCACAACCAAATGCACTATTCCACTCTTTGCAGTACACGGATAAACTTACTCAGGTTTTTGTGGCGCCGCCATGTGAGCATTATTTTCCTGAAATTTTTAGTAAAAAAAAGCACGTGTCAAAAACCAAAACAAGTTAAAAATGTGATGTGGTTTCGCTTATACTGTTGCAAAAGTAAACAACTTCACGGTTATTAAAGTACATAACAAAAGTTTAATTAAAATTTATAAAAGCAATTTGTGCGTAGTGCCTATGACTATGTGATATAATTATGTAATATATACCTTGTAATGGATTAATTGTCTAATTTTTTATAAAAAAATCTGTATTTAATAAGCTAAATGTTATTTAATGTTGACACTGCTAAAAAATTGCTTATTACCTAATGTTACTTTGCTGAAAATCAATCCCAGATAAACGATCCTGAATAAATAAATGTAGTTTTATATTTCTCAAATTGTGTAATCCAACAAAGCTGGACATTTTGACGGACTTTGATTTTGATTACAAAAGATAACAACAATAAGTTATCTATTTCCAAGGTGGTCGCCTATATTATACATTTGTGTTACATTACTATGATCAACACGGTATAATGCGAGCATCATTCACATACGAATGTCATCGTCTCCGGCAACATTTGACAATATTTTTTCTGTATTGATTGTTAAGTGCTAACTACATTTATTAACAAAATTTAAGCATTGGAAAATATGCCTTCCGTTGCATATTATGACAAATAACGGTTACATTAATTTCATTAACTTTAATTTTATAATAAACAATATCGCTTAGTGCCAGTAGCGGACTTCTTTCGCTTATAAAAACTGTAGGAGGTAAATTGTAACTGAATACTAGAGTCATTCTTTAAATGGAGACGAGCTTAACTTAATTAAGTGCTATGCCTCAAGTTGATTGGCGATCATAGCCGTGAGTCGTAAAACAATCCCGCTTCCCGGTCATTTCAGGGCTGAATTTATCAAACAAAGATACCACTATCTTTAGTTATCAAATCGATACACACACTATGTTGACAGGCAAAAAAGGTAAAAAAAAGATAAACGACGATAATCGTTAGCTTATAAATAAAATTTTCTTGTTTTAGTTATTACTCATATCTTCGTCACGTTACTTCCGTGTGGTTGAAATTGTGAAGCATAATTTTAAGCTAACAAGTTTCTTGCTACATACATATGTGATATACAGTGATATAGACTTCTTGGACTTAATGTGAAATACACGTGTGGAGTGAACGGTGGTGCATCAGTGACTTATTTACTTACATCGGGGCCCATGGCCGGCGGGCCCGTCCGCCCTGTATCGATTCTATCCCGCCACACCGGCGCGGATTAAGTCCGTAAGTGCATGTGCAATCTCTCAACTGTCATATTTCCTTGTCGGAATACATTGACTTACGGAATAGGAGTATTTGACTGCAACGAGATAGTTCTGTATGAATAGTGTGAGCCTTGATTAAATATAGCCTATGATTTAATAATAGGTCTCGACATAAAACGATTGCCATTAAATAATTTATAGATTCAGGCGTGGCAATCCATGTAATAAAGACGAAAGTAAATTACTTTGCTACTCCGCGAAGCCAGTGAAATCTAAATCGTGCAAAATAGCTGCACTTGTGAAAAAAAAAATGTATATATAATTTTACCCAATATAAAATTAATAAAATAAATAACACAAACCGTTGGCTTACTTTCTCAAATTCGTATCTTAAAACACAAAGTTACAAAAATAGAAAAAATGGATTGTATATACAAATTTTACAGGCTGATTTCACGTCACATTTCTTTTATATCCTACTGCCTATTCTTAAAGTAAGGCATCCAATTTAACATTCTTGATAAGAAATTTAAAATAAATAGAAAGTTCTCCCATCTCCTGAATAATAAACTTGTATCTTTATAAGATACGAGTTTGAGAAAGTAAGGCATCAAAACACAAATGCAATCACAAACACCACCACCAAAAATATACATGACATGTGTTTTACTTCTTTACGAGGCATCCTTAGGAGTTATTCGTTGTACCTACGCTTGCGGCCGAACAATGAGCTCGCAATCGCATAGAACAGTTGGCTACATTTATACCTCACTGCCCCCACTATTAACATCGTTATTATTTGAATATACCTGCAATAAAAGTGATGACATGATTCTTGTATCAAATTATTTCCACCTATTCTAAAACACCCAGACCTAATCCGTTTTCACAAAAAATTCGTTTAATGGAAATCTATTAAAAAGGTGATTGATATCGAATAAATGTTCAGCGAATTTGGACCACTTCGGGTGCTTATGCCTAAAATAAACGTGCATTTGGCATCTAGTTGTGAAGTTACGCCCTGTTTTTATGACCTATATTTATACATTGTTATAAGTATATATAATATAAGCAATATAAGTAATGCTTGCTTTATATTTATTAATGGATTGTCCAGTTAGAGTAGTATACAACATGCTGTTGATTATTCTATGTATTTTAAACTAAGCTATTAAGCTATTAATAAATGTTAACTGTAAACGTTAGAAAATGCTATTATGATAAACAATATTTATTCCTGAATTCACTTTTTAAAGAACATTACAATGTCCTTTATAAAGTGGAACTGTTAACAGCTTATGTATACAAATAAAAGCAGCCATTTTATGTTGCCAAGGGCATAACTATCAAGTAATCTATGCCATGAGTGACAAGAAGAAACCGGGATAACTGTATCTGTATTCGTAGGCTTTCGGTAGTTTTGAATTGATGTTTATTATATTTACTTTGGCTATGGATAAATCTTAGAATGTTAGTAGTAGTAGTTATATATTCCTGCAGTTCATTTTACATTATATTATTATATAATATAAAATTAACTGCATGAAAAAAATGTCAACACAAGCGGTAGCTACGCACGATTTAACATTCACTGGGTTCACGGAGTAGCAAAATACGTCATCGAGGCACACTACATTGGTGATGATTAGATTTCTACAACAGGTATCATAGTACCGGAACGTAATTTTCATTGGTAGCATTTATTTTCACTTTCTGTCGTAACTCAATGCATCGACAATTTTTCATTACCTCCTCCGAGACGAGACGCGGAGTACCACTCAAACGATATTGCGAATAATGGGACACTGTGCTTCACAACAGCTGCCGAGTGTGGGTGGAGAGAGATATTCACGGAAATCTCGTTCTTTGTAGGCAAAAACACAGGTTTGAGTGCTGAAAAAAGGTTCATACTTCTCGTGGTGTTAAGGGAAATACTGACTTAACGTACTCTTCAAAGAGCTACTATCATAAAAATATTTATTCCTTTCTACGTGCACAGGACTCTATCACGATAGTTCGTCGTTGAATGTGACCCACTTTGCAAGGTTGATTTTATATCTAAGCCCTCTAAAACTAGGCCGAGGTGCTAAAGTTCATCTTGCATCCTATCCATCTCCTACCGATCTTAATTAAGCTGTTATTGATTTTTTAAAAAAACGGGTGCATTAAAGACGGTGCATAGCGATGCAGAGTTTTTGTAATACGCACTCATTTTACATGTAAATTTAAAATGCAACGATTATATATTTCCGATCCGCAATTAACAATAATAAGACGATTTACTTAGACATGTAGATAATGATGAGGATTGGTAAATAACAACAGATATTTGTATTTTCAAATTTAATATCAGTAATGATTTAATGAATCGTTATTGATTAGAATATTGATTCCAGAATTAATATTTTTTTTAATCGGCTGTTCACTAAACTAAAAGCGGCCGTGGAAACTCGCCAAGCATTATAATTATTTTATTTTTATTCAATCATCGGAGAACAACGGCAAATTAACGTCATACCAGTGTGTACTTTACAACGTTTAGCGTACTAGACCGAAATACTTTCACCAAAATACCGCAATCATAAACGCACAGGGTCGGTGGATAATATTTATTTACACTAGTATATGCGCTGAGGAAATGTTTACGGAAGGACTGCGCGTGTAGTATACTACTATATCAATTTTTTCAACAGTTTACCGAACGAAATATGATATAGTGCGGATTGGTAGAGATCAATTACGCCTATTTACAAAACAGCTTATATACAAAATAGATAAAGTTCAATAAACTAAGCGTACAAGTAAATCGCTATGCTACAAATAATTTTGTGTGCATATTTTTAGAGAAGCTTAGGTTAAAGGAGAACTTCGAAGTCTACCATTCAATTTTGTGGTAATTTATTACTTAAGTACTGTAAACAATCAAATTACAATTATTAGTTTAATTCAGGTTTAAAGGTTTAACACGTAATGACTGAATGAATTATTAAGACTCTCGAAGTTACTTATAAAGCGACAGAACACAATTGCCAATTCGCATTTCGCCAGTTCCTAAATTTCTTGCCATTTAAAAGGATGACTAAATGGAACGGACAAAAGGAAATTAAGTTATAACTTCTTTTGTGTATAGCGATGGAACTTTTTCAAGCAAGAATGGTTTAATTTGTTTTGTATGTTCGTAGAGCACCGGGCCTTCCTTGCACATTTTATCGCGAAATCTTCATAAAATTTCCGTACCTCGTTCTAATCACGAAAAAAGATAGCATATTTTAGAACTACGATCGATGAAATATTTGATTTATATGAAGATAGAGATAAAAAGATTCTTCCGGTTTTTGATAAATGGGTTTGATCAAGTTCAGGATTTGTTTTTATCGTTAATGCCACGATGCTTATCGAACTTTCACATATGAAGTATTCAGTTCGACCATAACTTATCAATACAAGATAATTGGCGTAGGTTACCGACTTGTAAGCATGATAAATACTGATAATAAAGTATAAAGGACGTAGGTGTCATTGTCGTTGCTGTTGTAGGTAGAAGTTCTTCCAATACAGATTAGCGAAAATGCACGGAAAGTGTGTAATGAGTAATGGAGACACATCCATTTGGAAACCACTTAAGTTCAACATACGAATAACTAAAACTTATGCTGGTGGTTTGTAGTCCGTAACCTACAAAATTGAAACTCATTTTGCAGTGACCGATTTGCAGTGTTCAACATAAAAACGAACCCCCACGTCTGTTGCTCCAATATTGTACAGACCGCTGATGATATTGCGATATTTCGTTATGATTTTACTTCGCCGTTGTACGATGAGTGAAATTTTCGATATGCGCAATGCTTATCAAATCCACCATTTGATAAGAATTATAACATGCCATTACGAATGAATAACATTTTTTAGACTTTTTTATGATAACTTGTAACGTGACGAACAAGGCGTGCGCCTGATATGCGGGCATACTTACCGCAACTTAATTTTGCTGCTGGGATCATTATCATTGACATTGCAACTATAATGTCATAATCTTAAGATATATTACTAGTCTTCACCTAAAACCGCTTGCCGTTCCTTACCGTCAATGGGTGCCGAACCTATGTCTCCGTAAATCGTTTTCCTAAATTCCCTTTTTCTCTTAGTTTTTTATGGTACCAAGTGACAAGACGTACAAGTCGTACGCCTAGTGATAAGCGATACTCCTGTCCATAGCAGTTGCAGTGCCACTCACAGCTTTTAATCGCAAAGATCTGAAGAGCACTGTCAAAGTGTCCATAGAACAATTTGTTTTTTTCTTCTTCCGTGAATGTGGCTATATATTTCACTAACATCCTTACCCTTTAAAACCGGAACGCAGCAATGCTCACATTACTAGAAATAGGTAAGATAAAAATTGGTTATTCCCTACCTAATATTATTTTATCCTACACCTGCGTCACCACACTAATTGCTGTCGTTTTTCGGCTAAGTAGCAACAATAATTTATTGTGCAATGTAAACTCGCATGAACATTAAGCGAAACCTTCATGTAGCCATTGGAAGCTTCTGTCTGTTATCCAATATTTTATTGTCTATACGTCTCTATTTAAATCCCATTCACCATAATTTAGGTCATTCCACTTACCTCCAGCAATCTGTGAGATGAAAACTCTCTCATTTTCCTCGTTAATTCCCGGTAAGTGTACCCAAAAATGATGGGGCTTTTTGCTGCAATTATATTTGAAGTGACATGACCTTTTCTATATTGTTATTACTCAAATTAATACTTAAAAAGGGGACGACTCAGTGGCCCAGCAGTTAAGCATAGTAGGCACTAGACGAAGAGGTCACGCGTTTGATTCTTGGTAGAAGCAATTTGGAAAAAGAACTATTCTACGAGTACATTTGTCCTGGCCGGGATGTTCTGTGTAGTGCCCCAAAATTACTCTGAGGTTATTGGTATAACGAAACTACTTTGAGAAGTGCGAGCCCAATACTTGGTGTATTGGGCTCGCACTTCCAAGTTTCTTGGAATTT